GAGATGTTTACCCGTGTTTTATTGACTATGCAAAGGCATTCGACTGTATAGATCATAACAAATTATGGATAACATTGCAAAGAATGGAAATTGTAAAACAATTGTGCTCATGAGGAACCTATACATAGATCAAGAGGCAGTCATTCAAACAGAACAAGGAGATACTGCGTGGTTTAAAGTCAGGAAAGGTGTGCACCAGGGTTGTATCCTTTCACCATACTTATTCAGTTTGTATGCTGAGCAAATAATCTGAGAAGCTGGACTACATGAAGAAGAATGAGGCATCAGGATTGGAGGAAGACTCATTAACAACCTGCATCATGCAGATGGCACAAGCTTACTTGCTGGAAGTGAGGAGGACTAGAAGCACTTACTGACGAAGATCAGAGACCACTGCCTTCAGTATGGATTACATCTGAACATAAAACAAAAATCCTCACAGCCGTACCAATAAGCAACATCGTGATGAGTGGAGAAAATATTGAAGTTGTCAAAGATTTCATTTTACTTGGATCCACAACCAACATCCATGGAAGCCGCAGTCAAGAAATCAAACAACACATTGCACTGGGCAAATCTGCTGCAAAAGACCTCTTTACATTAAAGAGCAAAGATGTCACTTAAAGGACTAAGGTGCGCCTGACCCAAGCCATGGTGTTTTCAATGGCCTCGTGCATGTGAAAGCTGGACAGTGAATAAGGAAGACCAAAGAATTGATGGCTTTGAATTATGATTGTGTTGAAGAATATTGACTATACTATGGACTGCCAGAAGAACGAACAAACCTGTCTTGGAAGAAGTACATCCAGAATGCTCATTAGAAGCGAGGATGGCGAGACTTTGTGTCACGTACTTCGGACATGTTATCAGGAGGGGCCAATCCTGGAGAAGGACATCATGCTTAGTAAAGTAGAGGGTCAGCAAAAAAGAGGAAGACCCTCAACAAGATGGATTGACAGTGGCTGCAACAATGGGCTCAAACATAGCAACGATTGTGAGGATTGTGCAGGACCAGGCGGTGTTCCGATCTGTTGTACATAAGGTTGCTATGAGTTGGAATCAACTCGATGTCCCCTAACAACAGCAATGGCAACATTTGGTTATGCCTCGATGTGCACCCCTTCAGCCTCCAGCACACCCGATTATGTGAGATTCTTGCCTGTGCGGGCCGTCTGTGTCCAGCATGGCCTTATTTCATTTTTGGCCAGTACAGCACAGTGTTGTGTACCGTGGAGTCATTTCCAACTCATAGCGACCCCTACAGGGCAGAGTAGACCTGCCTCATAGGGTTTCCTAGGCTGTAATCTTTACAGGGGTAGATTGCCAGGTCTTTTCTCCCATGGAGCTGCTGGTGAGTTTGAACTGCTGACCTTTCGGTTAGCAGCTGAGCACTTAACCGTTGCGCCACCAGGGCTCCTTAGTACAAGCTTAACTTAATATGTATACTACTTCATCAGCATATCCGGGCCATCTCCAGGAGAGAGGGGGTGGCTATATGCTGCTGGCCACATGCACCACTCTGCCCGTATCTGACCTGGCCCAACTCAGATGCTTTCTGAGCCAGGCTCCACCAGGTGCCGGTAGGGCAGTGAGAGTGACCGGAGCCTTGTCACCGAGGCAGAGATGATCGGGTTGACGAAGCACAAGTCAGAGTACAGGCAGAGAGGAGCCTGGGTGAGTCCAGGAGCAGAGTGGACACACACGGATGGACCCAGAGAAAGGGCTGCAGAGGAGCACACTGGAGCCCACCTCAGGGAGAAGGAAGAGTTGGGGACATTCACTTCAGGACATGGGGAAAGAGAATCTCGTTTGTGGAAGAGGAAGAAACCAGAGAAATGAAACCCTGAGAGAGCGAGCAAGGGGCCGAATGAACACAGCAAGAGGTTTTAGCCCAGATACCTGGACCCTGAGGAGATCGTGAGCTGGTTATTTGCTCTTTACTTGACCAAAGGCCTGGAGAGTTGGCACGTGGCTCACAAAGTATTTGGGAACGTGTGGAAGTGTGGGGTTAGAAGGCCATGATCCAATCTTAGGCCATTGGACAATGTGCAACATTTCTCATGGACTAGCTAATAAACACAAACTGTTAGTCTTTTATCTAATGCATAATAAATATCATTGTCAACACAATTTAAAAATATCCTTATATTTGACTCAGAAAGATAGCATTTGGTAGAAGCACAGCCTTGAGAATATTCATAATGGTAGTTGCATAATCAGCAAAATTCTCTGTGGACAAAAAAATGGGCCAATACATTGATATGATGAGAGTAATTCATTAAAATGAAAATGGAAACTGAAAAATCATTTACAAATGGTTTTAATGGACAAAAAAAGAAAATTGGTCAGAATTAAATTGGCTTAATAAAGTTCAGTCTTGAAAATACTGTATCAACAAACTGGTGGCATAATTCTGATGGAAACTTTTGTATTCATGACAGAGTTACAATATCCAAGAGGTCAGAACCACAGACGAAAACAGGGACATTTAGTCTCATCATCTTTGACACACTTAATGATTCACTTGCTCTGTGGCCTTTAGAATATGTTACATTCTCCTTGTCTCTAAAGTGTCATTAGTTTGTCAACTGCCATTTATTTCATCTGCTGTTTTGTTTTCTTTTTTAAATTGTGAAATGCAGTGTCCATACAGAAAAGTGCACGAAAACCCAGACACATAGACACTTGTACCATTTGGTAAAGTTATAAAATGAACACTTGAGTTATCAACCCCCCCACCACCACCCAGGTCAAGAAATACAATGTGGTCGGACACACAAATCTCCCGTGTGGCCACAACCACTGTCTAGGTGGGCTCCTCCAGAGGCCGACGAGGTACAAGTGCAAGCTGCTTACATGGGAGTGGTCCCAGGAAGCCGGGGAAGTGAGGCAGGAAAACCACGAATGGTGTTTGGGTGACTGGGGCTCACTCCCCTGGGGGGCTTGGAGGCAGGTGAGACACTGCAGACCACATCAGAGATAGCTGCCCCTGGGGGCATTCACCCTTCAACACTTCCCACTTGCCTTGCCATGGGCCAACACCAATGGCCAGAGAAAACCTTGGCAGAGTTGCTGGAGCCAGGGGCTGGAAGCCACCGTTGGCCCTTGGGAAACTGAGTCCCAGGGCATATGGGCGGGGCACCAACAGCCTCAGCTACAACCACTGTCCTGACTTTGCTTTATTATTTCACCACCTATTATGGATTGAATGGTGCCCCCCCCCCACCAAAAAAAAGATATGTTGAAGTCCCAACCCTGGTACCTGTGAACGTGACCTTGTTTGGAAATAGGGACTCTAAAGATGTTACCAGTTAACATGAGTAGGGTGGTCCCATGTCAGTGGTGTCCTTATAAAAGGGAAGAGAGGCAGGTGCAGAGGGAAGATGGCAGTGTGTTAAGCTGCAGCTGCAAGCCAAGGAATACAGGGGGCTGCCTGGGTTCAGCAAGTGTCCTCCAGGCGAAAGCAGTTTCTGACCTCTGTAACCACTGTGGGCTCCCACCTTCATCCAGATTTTGGGCTGATGCCTCTTGCCATCTTGTCAGCTCTTCAGTGCTTTTTACAAGGTGTATATTAAATATTTTAACCACCATTTCTGGTTGTTTTCAGCAGGAAGCTTGGTCCAAGTGACCTGTAAACAGAACTTTCTTCTTCATCTGCTCTTGTTCCTTGAACTGCCGATGCTCTGTCTCTGTCTTAGCTTCCTGGGGCTGCTGTGACAAATGACCACATACTAAGTGGCCAAAACAACAGCCATTTAGTCTCCCAGATCTGGAAGCTAGAGGCCGGCTCAAGGTTTGGCTGTGTTGACTCTTTCTCAGGCTCTGAGGGAGGCTCTGCCCCATGCCTCTGTCCCAGCCTCTGGCGGTTACCGGCAGTGCTTGGTGTTTCTCGGCTTCTGACAGCATCAGTCTCTGCCTCCGTGCTCACAGCTGCCTCCCGCTCTCATGTGATGTCTCTTCTGTCTCTTACAAGTATACGTGTCACTGGATTTAGCCCCCCCCCCACGTTCCCGGATGACCCCTGACTTAATTCCAGCTACAAAGACACTTTTTCCCAGTAAGGTCACCTTTACAGGTTCTGGGTGGACCATCCACTCCTGCACTCCTTGTTTTGACAGTTTATTATTGAAGGCCTACGATAGACAGCATTGGATGCTGTCATCAGAGAGCTCACGTCTAGTCGGGGAGACACGCTGGTGGGATAATTACGCTAAACAATGTAAGACTGCACCCGTAAAGGGGTTGCAGGCCAGTGGGTACAGTCAAGGAAGCCTGGGCGAGGTGCGATAAGAGCTGCGCCCTGCTGGCCACGAGGACCGCGCCTGACAACGCAGGATGGAGGCGCGGTCAACGCGAAGGGGCGGGGCCGGGGCGAGGGGGCGGGGCCGGGGCGGGTGGCCTGAGCAGTGGCGGGACGAGGGGTGGGCCAGACCCCTGGCGAGGCAAGGATGAGGGTCAAGGCAAGGGCGGGGTGGGGTGAGCTGGGGGCGGGGCCAGGCCAGGGGCGGGGCAAGCGCATTGCGATTCTGGCGGCCCGGGGCCTGCGAAGGAGTTGGCCGCATTGACAGCTGCGACGGCCGCGCTGCCGCCCCTAGCCATGCACTGCTCTAATAAGTGGCGGCAGACGGTAGAGCGCTGCAGCGTCGGGGTGAGTGCCCGCGGCACTCCTCGGAGCGCGGAGTTGGGGAGCGGGCCCCGCCGTTGCCGCGACCCGGTCCCGCCCCCACGTGACGTCGTTTCGCCCCTCACCCAATCCCTGCGCTCCTCCCCGCACCTGCCCGCTGTCGCCCGGCTACTTTTAGCCGAAATCCCTCGCTAATCTCAGCGGCTCGGTCCCGCCCCTACAGGACAGCATTCAGCCTCTCACCCAATCCCTGGGCGTCCCCGTGACTTGATCCCACCCCCCCCTCCTGACGCCTCCTTCCCTCACCCAATCACGGCCCTCCGGCGCATGCCCAGTCTGTCAGTTGTTGCCGGGGTTTCCATCCCCGCCTCAGGCGGCGCGTAGCGGGTCTGGGAAACATGGAGGAGCTGCTGAGGCGCGAGCTGGGCTGCAGTTTCGTCAAGGCCACGGGCCACACGGGGGGCGGGTGCATTAGCCAGGGCCAGAGTTACGACACCGACAAAGGACGGGTGTTTGTGAAAGTGAACCCCAAGGCGGAGGTCAGGCCCGCCAGGGGCGCGGCGGGAGGCGGACGCGGGGACGGGATCTTGGGTCCCGGGATGCAGGCGCGGGGTCGGGGGTTGGGACCCAGCGTCGGGACCCAGCGTCGGAAGCCGGGGTCCGGGGAGGGGCCTCAGGGCTGGGTCCGGGTCCGAGGGGAGCTCGAGGGTCCGGAGTCGGAGTCCGCCGTCGCTGTGGAGACAACAGTGACGCTGTGAGCTGGGGGCAGGGATGGCGAGGAGGTGACCGGGGTTCCAGGACCCAGACCCTCCCCTCCCCAGCCGTGGCTGGGCTTGTGCCTCTTCCTCAGCGTTCATTCGTACAGTTATTTTAGTTTTCTTCTCAGAAACGAACCCAGCTCTCCACGTCGTGGGGTGATCTCACTCGGAAACCTTCCGTTCTCTCTAGACCTACAGGAGGCCACACTGCATGCTCCTTTTGTGGGAATTTGTCGAACGTTTGACCTTGAAACGACAGTTTACGTGACGCACCCCTTAACAGTGCTCACGCGGCGCGTCCCCTCGTGTCCACGCGGGGTTTCTGCTGACTTTCTCCTCACCCGCGCCGTCACGTCTCCGTGTTTCTCCCTTCACTAGCATTTGTGACAGCTCAGAACTTTGTGTTGATTTCAGGGGAAGAAGTATTTTCCGTTGGTTAAAACGGAACCACTTAGGAACCTTCGAAAACAGTGTTGTGCTGCCGCTGTTCCTTCAGGATCTTCCTGTTGCCGTCGAGGAGATTCCTGCTGCTGGCGACCCTGTAGGGCAGGGTAGAACTGCCCCATAGGGTTTCCCAGGAGCGCCTGGTGGGTTGGAACAACCCACCTTTTGGTTAGCAGCTGTAGCTCTTAACCACTGTGCCACGAGGGTTTTTCCGTCATGAAAGCTCATTTTCTTTTTGCTAATGTTTCTCACGAGCTCCTTTGTGTTGTTTGGTAAATAGTTCCAAACATGTTATGTCTTTTTCTAGCTTGCTTTGGAATTTGCAGTGCGAGTTATGTAAGTGTACAGGCCGTGGGATAATTATTTGCTGATTATGTTGAAAATAAAAGTACTTTTGTGCTTCGCCTCTTAGGAGGCAAAAACATCTTCCAGACTTTTAAGCGAGGCAGTTGCTCTCCTGTTTTCCTTCTCACCCCTGCTGCAGCTGCCCTGGTCCAAGATGTTTTTCCCTTTCTCTTGTGATTATTCTTATCTGTCCTTTGCACACTTGTGTAATTGGTTCTGCTGATACTCTGCCCGTTTCTTTTTGTAGCTCTGCACCACAGCTGATGCTCATTTTGCCTGGTTCCACTCTGGAGTAGGAGCGCTCTTGGCTTTAGTTAGAACCGTGGGACCACCCAGCAGTAGGTGTTGCTGTAAGGGTTCTTGGCCTCTGGCTGGGTCTACAGACCCTCCTCCCCCTGCCCTGCATTTCTCCTTCACGCTTCCCTGCCCTTGCTGTCCACAACCACTGCTCCAGCACAGATATAGCCAGGGCCCGTGCATTCCCTTCACCTTCCCAAGAGAATTCTTGGGGCCGAACATCTTCCTGTAAGACACAGTTCTTATCTTCCTTCTCAGGGGTTAACTCGCCAGGTTGTGAATAATGTTTATGAAGTGTTCAGGATGCACTGCGTAAGCTGTTAGGTGCACTGTGTATTAGCTGTTAACTCATTTAACCACGACAGCAACCCCATGAAATCTGTACTGTTATTCAGTCCATGTTACAGATGAGGAAGCTGAGGCACAGAGTTTAAGTAACTTGCCCAAGGTCACAGAGTTAGTAAGTGTAAGAATAAGTAGGAGAATATTCACAGCAGCTCTGTTTGTAATAGCCCCAAACTGGAGTCTCAAACGTCTGTCAGCAGTAGAATGCATGAATGCCTTTTGGAACATTCACAGGTGGAGCACATACAGCAATGAGGGCGAACTATTACACCTGCTCCTCACTTATCCACTGTCTTGTTATCCAACATTTCACATTTGCAACAATAGTGAAAAATCTACTATCCAATGATCTTGTGTGCTAATGATGTACGTCTGGTAGTAATGAATGCTGAGGTGCGAGGCAAGGGTAATGCTGGCTATGATGGTTAAGGTTATGTGTCATCTTGGCTGGGCCACGATTCTCAGTGGTTTGGCGGTTATGATGTAGTCATCATCCATTTTGTGATCTGATGTGGTCATTCTCCATTTTTGCATAATGCTGATTTTTGCATAACTACCTGGTCTTTGGAACCTAACCATGTCGATAAGTGAGGAGAGGATGTATTTTAAGGGGGGGGTGCCATCTAGTCTGGGAAGCTAGGTGAGAATTCTCTTGAGAATTTGAAACTGATAAATTTAAGTTGAAGTCTGAAGGATGACTAGGAAGGAGCTGACTCAATGAAAGATGGGTAGTGTTTGGACTGAGGTGGCACCCCAGGAGAGGCCTCAAGGCTGGAGGAGTCCATGAGACAGAAGCACAAAGTGCATGTGTGTGTGTGCTCTGTGTGCACGTATGTGCACATGCATGTGTATAGGGTAGAGCCGAGGTAGTGGTCCCAGGTGAGGGTGGAAGAGTGGGCAGGGGCCAGACCATGCTGCGCCTGTGTTGGGACAGAGGTGGAGAAGGGTTCTAGCTCCAGGGTGAGGCTGTCTTCTCAGAGGATCACTGCAGGGTTGAGGGCAGAAAGGATAAGGCAGGAGTCCAGGTGGGGAATGGCCGCTGCTGTCCTTTGGACTAGGACAGAGATGGTGGTAGAGACATTTTATGGTGCCTTGAGGTGGCACAGAACCCGGTGGTCCATCTAAGTGAAAAGTGACCCGGCTCCTGCATATGCAGCTGCGTGGAGGGAGTGGGGCACCTGCATCCTCTGTGGGCAGGGATTGTGGCTGAGGGGAGTCTTGGGGTAGATAGAGATGACCACGCACACAGTCCAGCCCGGCCGGGTGTTGGGTCTTTCCTCTCTGGGGAGTCATTGGTTTCAGCCATGCGTATAAATCCAGCCCAGCTCTGGACAGTGTATGCCATCTGCCCCTGTGTGAGAGGCAGCTTTGTGATCGCTGTCGCTGTCTGCTGGGTTTTCGGCCAGGTTACCGCTCTAAGTCGCGTCCTCATCTTGCTCCGCCACTTTTCTGACAGGCCCGGACAATGTTTGAAGGTGAGATGGCGAGCCTCACTGCCATCCTGCGGACGGGCACGGTGAGGGTGCCCAAGCCCCTGGCGGTCCTTGACGGCCCCGGCGGTGGGAGCATGCTGGTGATGGAGCACGTGGACATGCGGTACCTGAGCAGGTGCGTCCCGGCCTCCCCTGAAGCTCGTGCTTGGGGATCATTTTGAGGGGTGTTCACAAGAAGTTCTCGGGTTCCGCAGAGACTGGTGGGAGAGGACTCTGGGGAGATGCGGGTGAAGGCCTGGCCGTGAGCTTGGGTGAGACACGAATGACCACAAGCAGCAGAGCCCTCATCCCCCTCCTCCCCGAGCGGACTTTGGCTCCTCAGAACGTGTGACCTGCTTCCTGCGCCACAAGGCCTGCAGCGGCGCAGGTCTCCCGTTTGCGCGCCATCTGTTTCGTGCCTGGTGAGGGAGTGGCTGTCTTTGGTTTCACAGTTACGCCGCGAAGCTCGGAGCCCAGCTGGCAGATCTGCACCTGGAGAACCGGAGGCTCGGAGAGGCGCTTCGGAAGGAGGGCGGCACCGTGGGTATGGGCCTGGGGGGTAGGGGGTACGGGAGGGGGTTTGGGGGTAGGTGGGGAGCACACCAAGTGCAGGGGGGCCTAGCAGGAAGGGGAAGCTTGGAGAGGTGCTCCCGAAGGAGGGCGCCACCTTGGGTATGGGGTGTAGGGGCGCATGGGGATGCAGTGGGGAGAGGAGAGGAGGAGCAGCTGGGAGAGGGGCGTGGTGGGCACAGCAGTGCATTGACCATGGGGATGCAGTGGATGAGGGGGCACAGCTCCCTTGCGGGCTGTGAGGAGCCCACCCAGGAGAGAATACCAGCCAGCGTGGGCGAGGGGAGTCCTGCTGCAGTGCCGTGAGGTCAGTGCCGAGACTGCACGGGTGCCGTCCTTGCGAGGGGATCCTTGCTGGTCTCAGAGCCCCGCCGTGTTGTGGTACCCTAACCGCTTGCTCCCTAGAAGTACAGCACAAGTTTCCCTGGCTTTCTGTCCTAAGCCAGACCTCGAATCCGTGTCTGCTTCTAAAGAGCTGTCGTGCCGGGGCGAGTGTTGCCCTCACGGTCTGAGCTGGAGCTCGTGTGGCACCAGCACAGGGCTGTTTCCAGGGTCTCGTCCTCAGCACCTGGTGACCCGTGTGCAAGCGGTGGGGCAGTTCTGCTAAGCAGAGGGTAGCCAACACTCTAGAGAACAGCAGGATCCACTGTGCTCGATGGACAGACCCCATCCGTCCGTCTGTCTCCCCTGCGAGGAGCCACTGTGCTGGATGAACAGACCCCGTCCACCTGCCTGTTCTGTCCCTGAATGGACTTCAGTTCGTCATATTTGCTCTGGTTTCACGGAGCTGCAGAGGACAGGGGCCGTGTGTGTCCACGCACAGCAGTTTGTCCTTTGTAAGTGGCAGGTGCTGAGCCGACCCCTTAAAACCACGCTTTCCTGACATGTCCTGAGATGGACGTCTCCCCTCCCTAAAGAATGTCCTCCTTTTCCTGGACACTCCATTGTCCCCTGGCAGCCTCTGGAGCCACTGCCAGGAGCAGTTGGTGTCCTCTGGTGATTAAGTTGGTTGGCACAGTCCTCTATTTCTGGGGTTGGCGCTAGTAGGAGCCAGACCTCACGTGTGGAGACAAGGAGATGGGTGGAAGGGGCTCCCTGAGGTCAGGCCTCAGGGGTGCAGCTGCCCGTCGTGTGGGGATGAGATGGGTGGAGGGGGCTCCTCAAGGCCAGGCCTCAGCGGCGTGGCTACCCCTCGTGTGGGGACGAGATGGGTGGAGGGGGCTCCCTGAGGCCAGGCCTCAGCGGCGTGGCTACCCCT